TTTTGACGCAGGATTTAATAAATATTTGAAGTTCTCCTCATGAGGCCACAAGGAGCTCGTGTTGAATCAAAGCTGGGTTTTGGATCAGAACCGGAGGCTGCAGGACTGGATCTCCTTACAAGGAGAACCCGCTCAGTGTTTTCTGTTTTCCTGTTTATGGACCGGACCGGATCAGAACCGTCCAAGTGCTCCCAGCTGGACTCTGCTTACATTACACACGGTCAGAACTTTTTGGGGATAAACTCAGAACTTTTCTGTGTTTGGGTCTCAGCAGACTCAGGTCCATTAATTCAGCCGGGGGGAGGCGCGTGCACGTCACGCTCACACCTTCAGAACCAGAGGTCCAAAACAAACATTTGATCAGAACTTTGTCCAAATAAAGACATGAGAAAAACTTTATTTATAAAAACAAATTAAACGAGTTATAAAATCAATCTCAGCTGTTTAATCTTTGAACATCTGTTGATTTCAAACCTTTAGAACCGGACCAGAACCTCCTCAGTTCTTTTATTGGTTCTGGTTTGATTAACCGGGCCTGTTGGGCCACACGCTGACAGAACCACCAGAACCTTTAAACTCTAAGACTTGAAGAAACGAGATGAATTTACAAAAGCTTTTATTTTGAAAAATGATTTCTGATGCAGGTTTTTTTCACATCCGGTCTGAAAGTTTGAGGAGTTTTGGCGCCACCTGCTGGACGAACAGAACATCTGGAACTGAAAACCCAACATCCGCAAACCGTCCAGAACCAGAACCAACACAAACAGGAAACGTCTCAGAACTGGTCCTGATCCGGGTTCTGCAGTTCCGTCTTCTGGAGGTCCAAACCTGAACAACTGGACCAACTCAGAACCAAACGTCCCTCTGTCCCATCAGCGCACGTCTGGAGGAGGTCCTGAGGGTTCTGGGGTCAGAAGGTACCTCAGAGCCCAGCGCAGGACCGGCTCAGGCACTCGGAACCGACTGAAGTCCTGCAGGTTCTGACCCGACACGGTGTAGGTGTAGGAGAACGGCACGCCGTCCTCGTGGACGCTGGGGGTCCTTCTCGGCCCGGGCGGTTTGGGACCGCTGTCCTCCTGGGTTCTGGACTCCTGGGTCTGGAAGAGCCACGATGGCGGGCTCGGGCTAGGCCCCTCCCACTCGCTCACCTTCTCAGGTGTGACGTCACAACGCTTCCTCTTCGGCTTCCTGTACACAGCAGGACCCTCCTGGACCCCGTGGTCCCCGTCCAGACTGGGACAGGTCTGCAGCCCTGCAGGGACGTGGGTTCTGTCCGAGACCAGAGGTTCTGCTGGACTCTGGACCGATGAGGACCAGACCGGGACGCTGCTGGTCGGAGGGTTCTGGTAGGGTGGGAGGAGACTGGGGCTCTCCTCAGAACCAGGACCGGGTGTGGATGAGACCGGACCAGGYTGGTCCTGGGTCGGTTCTGGAGATGACTCGTCAGAGGGGCTGGTGCAGGGAGGGGGGAACAGGTCCCAGGGGTTGGACGAAGGCCGGTCACTCATGTCTGAGCTCTTTGCTGGACCACAGACCGGTCCTCCTCCTAGATCTGGTACCTGCCAGTCCGTGTGGTCCACAGACTCCGGTCCCGTCTGTGTTCTGGACTCAGGACCCTCAGGGATCAAAAGACTCTTCACCGGGACTCTAAAGGGCCTCTCTGTCTTGTACCGGACCCGGTCCATGTCCCAGCTGCTRGTAGACCGGGTCAGAGACGAGCTGTGGGGGGACGTGGAGAGTCCTGGTGGGGTCATCAGGAGGACCTGGACGTGGTCCAGAACCGGCTGCAGGGAGTCCTGGTGACACGCCCTCAGCAGCAGGGACAGTTCGTGTCCAGACTGGCTCCCCTGAGAGTTCTGACCCAGCAGGGACCTCCAGGTCTGCAGGACCTTGGTCTTGATGGAGGCCCGGGTGGTGCAGCAGGGGCAGTGGTCCTGAAAGCGCCCGGCTCCGCAGGTGGTCACCTCCTCCAGAGACAAGAAGAACATGGCCTTGTCCAGGTCCGGGTCCATGTGGAACCGGAGCCGGTAGTCCTGGACCAGCACGTTGGTGTTGAGGAAGCTGTCGAGACTTTCCCGGTCCTCCTGCTCCTGCAGGCAGTCCCAGGCGGCCGCGGTGAGCACGGCGGGGAGGCGCAGCTCCCCGTCCGACAGAAGGAGCAGCTCGACGGGTCCGTCCGAACCCCGGGCCCGAACCTGGGACATGGACTGGTGCCCCACCCCGACCACACGGGCCCTGATGCAGCCGGAGCCGCTGCGGGGCCTCCGCTCCTCCTCCGGGCCGCTGTAGTCCAGAATCAGCCTCTCAATCCACGGAGACAGCTCTGGTGGAGCGGAGCGGGCCATGTTTGGATCAAAACTTCCGGTCCGCCGCGTATTAGCGTCCGGCAGGAAACACACACCGGGCTCAAAGTAAAGTGAAATAAAGTGAAGTGAAGTAAAGTGAAGTGAAGTGAAGTAGATGAAATGAAATAAAAAACAAAACATGATGAAGATGTTGGAGCTAGAAAAAATAATTACTGTAAATATAAATTATTTAATATCTGCACGTATATATATATTTTTTAATTATCCAAAGTAAAACATTTTTTTAAATAATAGAAATGGAAGAAGATACAAGAAATATATATTATTAGGCTAAATGTTAAAATGATCAAATTATATTTTTCTGATGCATGTCAGGTCTTATTTCTATAAGAATATTTGTATCGTAAGAAATCAGAAAAACTTGGCAAATGATTATTATTTTTTATTTACTAATTTTGACCTTCTACGTGGACCAAATTTTAGATTTGGCCATTCGTAAGTGAAATTTTAAGATAAGATAAGATAAGATAAGATAAGATAAGATAATCTTTATTGTCATTGCACAGTTATACTTCGTACAATAGTGTGACAAAATTGTGGTGGTGCCATAATAGAATACAAAGC